AGAAATAGGAACACTTTTACACTGTTGGTGGGAGTGTAAACTAGTTCAACCATTGTGGAAGACAGTGTGGTGATTCCTCAAGGATCTAGAACTAGAAACACCATTTGACCCAGCCATCCCATTACTGGGTATATACCCAAATGATTATAAATCATGCTGCTATAAAGACACATGCACATGTATGTTTATTACGGCACTATTCACAATAGCAAAGACTTGGAACCAACCCAAATGTACATCAATGATAGACTGGATTAAGAAAAAGTGGCACACATACATCATGGAATACTATGCAGCCATAAAAAAGGATGAGTTCGGCTGGGCGTGGTGGCTCACGCCTGTGATCCCAGCACTTTGGGAGGCAGAGCCAGGCGGATCTCAAGTTCAGGAGATTGAGACCATCTTGGCTAACATGGTGAAACCCCATGTCTACTAAAAAAAATACAAAAAGAATTAGCCAGGCGTGGTGGTGGGCACCTGTAATCCCAGCTACTCGGGAGGTTGAGGCAGAAGAATGGTGTGAACCCGGGAGGCGGAGCTTGCAGTGAGCCGAGATTGCGCCACTGTACTCTAGCCTGGGGGACACAGCAAGACTCCATCTTAAAAAAAGAAAAAAAAAGGATGACTTCATGTCCTTTGTAGGGACATGGATGAAGCTGGAAACCATCATTCTGAGCAAACTATTGCAAGGACAGAAAATCAAACACTGCATGTTCTCACTCATAGGTGGGAACTGAACAATGAAAACACTTGGATACAGGTTGGGGAACATCACACACTGGAGCCTGTTGTGGGGTCGGGGGAGGGGGAGGGATACCATTAGGAGATATACCTAATGTAAATGACGAGTTAATGGGTTCAGCACACCAACATGGCACATGTATACATATGTAACAATCTTGCATGTTGTGCACATGTACCCTAGAACTTAAAGTATAATAATAATAAAAAAAGATATCAAAAACAAATAAGTAACTCAATAAATACATAAAGAGAAAGAAAGAAAAAAAAGAATAATGTGGGAGCAATGCTGTAGTGCTCTATTTTCACTGTTTAGAGTGTGTTGATGACATATTGTGTGTGTATAATAGTCACATGTACTCATAATAGTCCTTGAACTATTGGGATCACTGCTGATATTTTAAAGTATTGGAGGTACCTTTTTATCTTGAAAAAATATAATATTTTTGAAAACCTCAAAAAAAAAGCCAAAAAGAAAAACAAAAGAGCTACATAAACTACACCCATCTGCCATGTCATTTCTCATAGGTGAAAATGAAAAAGTAACAAACTTACTGGATTCAAGCAGGCTCCATAAAGCTTTACAATATTAGGATGGTTCACACGGGATAACTGCCGAAGCTGTTAAGAAATTAAGGTTTCTTTTATAAAGTGATAAACTTTTGAAGTACTGATTTCACAGTATCATTAAAATCTTACTGTTGTACAAAACATTTGTTTAAATCATTCAACAATCACTATTTACTATGTAACAGGCATTGTAATCATAGCCTGAAAATACCAAGTGCCTGCCCAGAACGGCACAAAATCCCTGTTTTCCAGCTCATACAGTTTAGCTGGAAAGACAGACATGTAAACAAATAATTAAATCAATGTGCAAAGTGCTATAACAGGAGTTATGAACAAGGCATGATGAGTATATAGAATAAAGAAGAGATGAACTCTGCCAAGAAATGTTAGGATATGATCCCAGAGATGGTACTGAGCTGCATTATCCAAACCAGAAGTCATGTTATCATTGTTATCATCATCTTCATAGCTATGGTTGAACAGTCTAGCTACTCTGCATGGGGGCCTAATGTGCACTTTAGAGATATCGTATAATTATCACAACTCTGCAAGGTAGGTATCATCATTTCCACTTTAAAGATGAGATTTTAACCTTAAGTCTCAGAGAGGGTTAAATGACCTGTTCTATAGTTAAGTGGGATTTGAACTTTAGTCTATCTGACTTAAAATGTGCACTCCCTCTGTATACTTGCCTTCATTTCATTTCCCATTTCTTGAATTCATTCTCTCCTCTCCATTCCCACTGCCATTGCCTTAGTAATCCCAACATGAACTGCTGCAGTGATTATTATAGCCTACTAGCTGGTTTCCCTCTTTCAGTTTTAATCATCCCTGATCCAATGATCCATACTGAGGTCAATGAGGGGTTTGGCTATACTCACTTCTCTTATTCTAGATCTCAAACTTCTTTCTTTGGAGACAGGTTTTGCTCTGTCACCCAGGCTGCAGTGCAGTGGTACAATCTTGGCTCACTGCAATCTCTGCCTCCTGGACTCAGGCAATCCTCCTACCTCAGCCTCTGGAGTAGCTGGGACTATAGATGCACAGCCACCATGCCTGGCTAATTTTTGTATTTTTCTGTAGAGATGGGGTTTTGCCATGTTGCCCAGGCTGATCTCAAACTCCTGGGCTCAAGCAACCCATCTGCCATTCCCAAAGTTCTGGGATTATAGGTGTGAGCCATCATGCCTGTCTTCAAACTTCTTTCTATTAATGCATCCCACTCCACAGCAAACTGCTTCTTGCTTTCATTCTTTTCTCCCTTCTCCTCTCTTTCCTGCACTTTTTCCACTCTTCTTCCTCTTCTCTATTACATACATTATGCTGCTGGCTCATATTCAGTCCACTAATGTCTCTAAACCTTCATACTGTATGCTAATAAAAAGCTCTATCTATATAGAGCCAACATGTGTGGATTTTTGGTCCTAATAGAAGAATTAGTATCACTATTTATTGTATTTATTTACTATATGAAAATATATTTACTATATTTCATCTTGCTAAGGTTCAGCACTGAGATTCAGATAGCGGATTATACAAGCATTTCTTCCTCCTCTTTCCCTAATTCCCACTAAGATGGTAAAGATTTAAAAAATTTTAAGGCATAACCTCAGAAGGATGAAGATAATGTAAAGTGCACAAACAGCATACATTTTTGGAAGGTGGAAAGCAAATGACTAGCAATAACTGATACAGCCACCTAGAAGAGCTGCATCATAAACTGGCAATGAGAAAAATGGAGAAGCAACCGGATTTATCTCACAAAGCTTCCAAAAGGTTAGGGAGTGGCGGCAGAGCTAGGTACCTATGCAAATGAGCTAATCAAAGGACAGGGCAGGGGACAGCTTAAAAGACTCAAAGATTCCTTCCTTGACTTCAAATAGCTCAATGACTATCTCTTCTCATCCCAGCAAAAGACTAGAGGTTGATTCTTTAGAGAAGGGGTAATAAATAGCATCTGGACTGGAGACACCAAACATAAATGAAGGAGTGAGCTCAAAGTAGTTGTCTCTGGGAAGCAGAAAATTAGATTGGAGGAGGTATAGGAGACTGAAGTCTTTTTCATTAAGAATTTTGGAGAACCATTTTATATTACATGCACATCTAATCTGGATTTAAAAAATTTTCTTCACGCTATTATGATCTTTTTGACTTGTGATTCCTAATGTTTAACACATATGTTATTTCACTCAGCTTTGCGAAACTGCTAATGTAACAGGAAATGATCAATAGCTTTATCTAAACTGTAATAAAAATATTGCATAAGACAAAGCTGAGGCCAGACTCCTAGAACATACTACTAGAAATCATCTTTTTTTAGGCTGACAACAAATCACTTATCAGCATTTCCCAACTCATTCAGCCACTTATAAATCACTTTCTCATATCACAATTAAGTCCTCATTTTTCCATGTTATACATTAAAAAATATGAAGCATATTTTGAAATTATGATTAAATGAAAAAACAGATATAAATTCAGAAGGCTTATAAGGTAGAGGCCACTTATCCATTGGCCAATGAGGTTTAATAGTGATAAAAACATTGATTTAACTAAATAATGTGATCCAAAATACAAAATAACAAAGTTAGTAAAGGATAAATTTGATAATATGCTAATCTCATGATTATTGGATTTTCCTTCATCATTCAATCTAATCTATTTCTAAGAGAATAGTTGCAAATTTTCATGCTAAATGAGAAAAATCAAATTTGAAATAATTTTTCTTTAAAATAATTTGAGTTTCTAAAAACATTCCATTTAAAATAAGTGTATAAAATTTCTTAATGTTAGATAATGGGAAAGCATACCATTTCTTTTCTATTTTAAAATTAAAATACTATGCCTTGAAATAGATCTGAATTCTATGGATGAAACTGTTTTAATTCAGGGGTGAATTCACTTATGTAGTTAAGTCTCTTTTCCCCTAATTTTTAGTCAGAATTAAGAGTATGAATGAGAAAATGTTCCTACAGCACTAACCTTTGATTAAACCAAATTGCTGATGTTCGTGTATACAAAGAAATGACATCTAAGAAACCAATCTTTTTCATAATATTAAATTCACAGAGTATCTTAAGTGCAGAACTACACAAAAGAAATGACATCTCAACTTACCTCTACAATAAAGGCTTTCCTCTCAGATTCACTTTCTATTTGTTTAATAGCAACATCTTTTGCTCTCCACTTAGCTTTGCAAACAACTCCAAAGGCTCCTCTTCCAACAACCTGAGTTAAACAAACAAAAAACAAACAAAAAATACCACAAGAATCGGAATCAAATAGATCCAGCCCAATATAAAAAACTGAAGCCAATCTTTAAGACTTTAAATTAAAAAAACAAACAAACAAACAAAAACGTGGAAATCAACAGTATCTGGATTTGCCACTGAACGAGTATGAATTTTTGTTAAAGTGAGAAGATAAACACACGCTTGTCTCTATCTTTGAAAGTTTATGATCTGTACACCCATTCATTCTCAAGAAAAACCAAAAAAGACACACGGAGGAACAAAGTAAAGTGATTTGTTAAACGGAGAAAAAAAAAAACTAAAACAGGCAAGATGAATGAGAACACAGAAGATGATTTGGAAAAACAAAAAGCAGGAACATATAATAAATATTTTCAGCTATCATATTTAAGAAATTAAAAATAGCCTTTGAATTCAGCAGGGATAGGGAATGGAGGAGAAAGGATACAAATATAGATGTTAAAAAGACTGGCCATAAAGGACAGACAAAATACAGTATTATTTATTCCATGGAATTTTATTCCACAAGAAAAACTATTGATACATGTCACATACAATATGAACTCCAAAAACATTATGCTAAGCAAAAGAAGTCAGACACCAGAGACCACATGTTGTATGGTTCCATTTATACAAAATGTTCAGAAAAGGCAAATTTATAGATAGATATCTGGGTCCGAGGGTGAAAATGAGAATTAACAGTAAATGAGTAGCTGGTATCCTGACAGAGTGATGAAATTATTTAAAAAAAAAAAACAAAACCTAATTTATGGTGGTGGCTGACAACCTGGTAAATTTGCAAAACCCACCAAATTGTACACTTCAAATGGGTGATTTTTATGATGTGTAAAATATATCCCATTACAGTTATTTTTCAAAAGTCATAAAAATAAAGATCAGCCATGTGTCATACTATTGTTGAAGCCAACTGATGAGTACTGCATGGGTTCATTGCTCTCTCATGGTGTCCTATTTTTACAAATGTTTGACATTTTCCTTAATATAAAAAAATGAAGAAAACAAAAATAGCTTTTGATACTTGTTAGAGTAAATTCATTAGATTTTATCATTGTGAAAGGACCTTAGTTAAGTACCATCTACTCCAATCTCTGTTTCCAATGAACCTAAGCACTTTGTATCAAGGCCTTTTTCTTTAGTAAAAAATCTCCATGTCTTAACCATATTTATATGTACTTTCTATGTAGCAGGCACTTAAATAATGCTTTACATATCTCATCTACACGGGCCTAGAGGAAGGTACTAATGCTATCCTTATTTTACAGTTGAAGTGCCTAGCTTACTTTAAAAAGAAGTAAACTGCCGGGC